GCTTATGAATGGTTTGTTCCCAACCCATAATGGTCAAATTTATCCTTACATCACTCGAGAGATACACAAATCTCCCAAACTTATTATTTTCACTCAATTATCTTGGGGTGTGTTCTAAGGTTAGGAGTTTAACAACTATAATCCTTACCCTCTCTTAGTTTGGATAGATCTTACCCTTACAAGTACACATATCAACAAGTAGAGACTCTCTTTAATTTGATTGTTTCAACCTTTAGGCTCAAACTAAGCTACTTACCTCGCATCAAGGTTAAAGTTATATCAACCAAATGTCCAACAAGTGTTTTTTTTTTCAGGTTTTTTTTTTCTCTCCATCTTCTCATTTGCTTTCTATATAACCCATGTAACGAGTTTTAGGCGATGACTCCCAAACTAGTTGGTCTTAGGGCACCAGGTTTTAAACCCTTGCAGCCTTATTCACCCGAGTTATAAAGGCTCGATAAGATGAATTTTTGTCAACTTCTCCTTTTTCTTGCTTTCTATATGACCCCTGTAACGAGCTTTAGGTCGATAATTCTCAAACCAGTTGGCTTTAGGATATCAGGTTTTAAGCCCTAACAGACTTACTTGCTCGAGTCATAAAGGCTTTAGAGAGAAGTGATAATTTTTATTTTCTGCCCTTTCTTTGTTTTTCTAGACATTTGATCTCAAAAACCGTCCTCAATTTAAAGCTTTCACCTATTTCTCACCTTCTGGGTCTAGGCAATCCACACAATATAATTTCATGCACTGAGTCTCTACTTATCTCCATGTTACCTATAGTGGTTCAACCATCTCCAAACTATCTTATGGTGATTTAACGGGTTAATGATATAGAGGGTTAACCTAGGTTTCTCATATTTTACTCCAACAATCCCATTCAATAACTTTACATGACAATATGAGTGCATGCAAAAGGATGTCAAGCATTGCATCAACAAGTATTAGCTAATGAAATCCTGTACTATATCCACAGTTCTAATTTACACCTGTCCAATAATCACATCAAGGCTACCAAACCCACACAAGCATGCAAAAGTAAAATCAACACTCATTCATCACGCATGCATCATGCAAGAATGCAGTCAATTTAATGATTGATTGTGAAAATGCATATTAACTACATGCCGAATATTTGTTTGAAAATTATGCTACCATCCCCCAAACTTATACAGTACATTGTCCTCAATGTAAATGTAAAGTTAGAAAAGCATAATTTAAAAATATATACACAACTTGGCAAATAGAAGTAAACAACACTCCCCTGATCAAAGTGGTGGTCGCGGTGTGTAGCTGGGACCCGCAACATGATCTTCAGGAGGAGATGGAAGGCGAGATAGGATTTGTCTCATCAACTCTGTCTGCTGTGCTTGCTCTGCCTGAATGGATTGAAGCCTATTCTCCATACTTCCCAATCGATCCCAGGTTTCGTTCACTCGCCACTGTATGCCATCCATTCTCCCAGCATACATGTTGAACCTACCATTCATGATCTCCACTTCCCGTCGTGCCGCTGTGGCTTCATTCAAAGCACCCCTTGTGTAGTCCCGGAAAGAGTAGAGGTCTCTCTGCACTTTGTCAACAGTGGTAGTCATGGTCTCGAAACTCTGCTGGAGATGTTGTATGTCTCGGCTAGTTCCAGTGGTGGTGGCGAATATCTGCCTCAAAACCTGATTGTCCATATCAACCTGGGGTGGTGGTGGAGGAATTTGAGGCATGTCAAGGTCCGCATCTGCTTGACCTTTCTCATTCAATTGCTGTTGTCGTCGTGCATTTTCTAATTTCTGTTGGTGCTTCAGTCTTGCTCGATCTTGGGCCTCTAGTGTGGATTGCTTGATAAAGGGGCTTGGCTTTTCTGGTGCTTTTCCAGGTTGGATTTGTATCCCCGCTGCTTTACATATTCCACTTATCAGACTGGAAAAAATTAGTGAGTTGTGCCTATCACCCCAAGTGCCTGTACCATGAATTTGGTTGTAGATGTACGTGGCTAGATCAATCTTGTTCCCTCTAACCAAATGGTATATGAATCCGGCCCTTGGATTTGTAAATGTTGTTCTGTGGGATATAGGCTCGATGTTATGGCACATGAATAACCATAAAATTGCTATGGATGGGGTGAGATCTATCTGATGCCAGTCTGCTGTAGGTAGAGGCCAAGCGTTTTCACGTCCCAACAATACCTCTGCAACCTCATTCCAGTTGAAGTCCTCTGGGATAGGGGACCACATTGTTCCAAGATAACTGATAGTAGTCATGGATTACCTCCGGTGAGAACATAATCCATTCGCCCCTAACCCA